CCGGGGGGGAGCCGGCCGCGCTGCTCCCGGCGCTGTTGCTAGGCAGCCGCACACGGAGCTCGGCCCGCGGCTCCGTGTGGGAACCCCGTGGAGACCCGAGCGCCCGGGCTGCGGGGGCTCCCGCGTCCGGCCCGGCGAGGAGAGCTGCGAGCTGCGTGGGAACGAGCGCGGCCTCCGAGGCGCCGAGGCTTCCGCTGATTAGATATCTGCTTAATTAACTGTAACAGATCAGCTTTAGAGAAGGGGAACGTTATTTAAAAAAAAAAACAGTGTTTTGAAAACAGTGTTACTACTGCAGCATCAGCTCCCCCCGCTCCGGCGCCGAGCCCCAGCCCGGCTCCCGTGCCCTCGGCGCGAATCCTCCTCCCCTCTGGCAGGGTTTGTGCCGAGCACATTCCCGCTTGGAGCCCGTGCCCCCGGCGCGGGAGAGGAGCCGATCTCAGGGCAGCGCAAAGGGGCTTGGAGGCAGCGCGGAGCAGCGCGGCGGTACCTGCCGTGTGACCGGGGGCTGCTCCGCAGGGAGGGCCGCGAGACAAAGCGGGGGACACGGGGCACAGCGTGGGAAATACGACTACGGGAACACAGATACGGCCGTAGGGCCAGAGGAGCGAATGCAAGAGACTGCGGCTCCTTTTACATACGTGGAATTCACTTGTCTGACCTGTTCCTGCCATAATAAAGCGTATTCGCAGGTTTCTGATGGAGCCAGGGTGGAATGGCTTAAGAGTTTAGACCTAAGGTATTTTTGATAGCAAGGATATTTTGGAGAGATTGCATGAATGTTCAGGCATGCACAAATTTCATTTCTCTATCTTTTGAAGCTTTTTGCTAACTGGAGGAAAACATTGTTTTGTTGCCATTAACTTCCGGTTGTGAGGTTTTTTTAATTATTACGAGTGATAAAGAGAACAGGTAATACAAAAAAAAAAGTATTTACAGCCTAATCATTGTTGCCACTGGCTAGTGTGTGAAACCCAAGTTGTCCAGGCTCTCTGAAATGCAACAGGTAAACAGCAGAAGTCTAAACAATTCTGTGCAGAAACATTAATTACAGCCTGTGCTTACCTCAAGTGTAGTGAGTTATTTGTAAATGTGTCTGTCTGTACCCATATTTTCCAGAGTTGAGTCTTGAAATATTAATAAAATTGTACTGCTTGGAAACTGCTTGGACTCCAAACTGCTTGGAGTATTGATTTACAGCTGCCCTTTAATTTAAGCAGAGCCTAGTGCTTTTAAGGCTCTTCTCCAAACGTGACGTTGACAACAGTCATCTTGCTCTCTCCCTGCAGCATTCCAGTGTGTTCCCAGCCTCTACTCCTTCCGGCCTCTCAGACGATCCCCAGTCAGTGTCACCGTCTCCCAGCTACATGTGGTCCTCTAATGCTCCTCCTCGTTATTCACCACCGTATTTTCCACCTTTTGAAAAGCCACCACCTTATACACCATAAGAAATGAGGAAGAGAAGAAGGAAATATTTGCCGTTGAAATAATTGTGAACATTTTGTATTTATATTTTACTGTGGGGGGGAGCGGAAGGATAGATAAGAAGAGAATGAATAATATGAATACCAGATTGGACTGTTCTTTCCTGCAAGACTTGTTTTAGAGGTTTAACAGCCGGGTATGAGGAAGGAGACATAACTGCTGATGTTTCAGTGCCGGTGAGTAACGAGTGACCTAAATTCCAGCCTCTGTTTTACAGTGAGGTTCTCGCTTTTTAATAAAGTGCTACAACACACGTGATGCACCCTGGTCTGCCTTACTCCATCTTGAGCCAAGCTGAGGTAAGGGTGGCCGGCATCAGCAGTTGCCCTGCGGAAGGTGCTCGCGGCAGCTCAGCTGAGACTCGTCTCGTTGGCCCTTTGGCGCTGGTTGTTGCGGTGCTGCAGGGCCTGTCTCGCCTCACGTGCCGGGCACCGGCCACGCACGCGTGCAGGGAGGAGCCGGGGCAGCTTCTGAGCTGCAGCACCGTTACGAGGTCACATCAAGGGGTATTCTGATGTGTCTCATAGCAGGAAAACTGGAATATTGCTTTTTCAACGGGTAAGCATTAATAGGCAATCTGGCTTATTTCAGGATGCTGCTTAAGATAAGTTATGAAATGCAGTTGCCTGTCTCAGAGTTCTTGTATAAATAATGCTGAAGTCAAGCAGTTTGGGTGGTTGCGCTGCCTAAATTTTCCTTGTATTGCTATGAAAAGTATCAGGAACTGCACAGGTCACTGAAACACAGCCAGTGAAGACACTTTTTTTTTTTTTCCCCTTCTATTTAGTTGGGATTTTTTTTTAAGGCTGTACTTTTAACTTTTGTAATGGATTGAATCAGCATCCTGAATAAGCACTGTTTTAGTAGCTATATTATGGGCTGCACGTACTGAATTCCCACTACTAGTTCTTCAGGATGCAAGTCTCACATGGATAAAATTCAATACCATGTAATGTAGGCTGAAGCTGATAGGAATTTGCAATTATTGTTGTGACTCTCATTTAATCTTCAGCTGATGACTGTGCTGATTGGTCTAGATTCCAACAGTTTTTGCATGCATCCTGCATAACAAAAAAGGAGGTCAGCTTTGTTAGGTGACACAGCGTCCTGTGAAGTGTGGTGCTACTGCAGGAAGGGATTTCAGGTGACTTTCCGGACTGAGCTGCTCAGCCTGAGCATTCTCAGCTCTGCTTGCTTCAGGGGTAAAAACAGGGTATTGGGGTTTTACTCCTTATTTCTGAAAGATCTGATTTCCTTTGCTTGAGATCACTGGGGCCTAAGCATAAATTTTCAATATTTACATTCAACCGTGATACAGACAAAAAGATAATTGAAAGCTGTCTGGCTTACAGAATCTGAAAAAAAAAAAAAAAAAAGATGTTAGAAAAAAAAATCTGGATTTTGAATTGTGGTATCTCTGTACTTGCAATCTTAACAGATTTGAGATTGTCAGTAGGAAAAGTAAGCACTGAAGTCCCTGATCTCACTTTTCAAAGTGCACCCACACTTTATAACGCTGTTTTTAATCCTGTGCATTTGCCAAGCCTCTATGTGTTAACCTTATCATTCCACTGTCAAATATGAATCCGTGTATTATTAAGCTGAAGGATGATACTGTTTATCCAGAAGCAAACGCGTGACATTCCTCCGACAAGGAGGGCGAATGGCTGGAGAAAGTAATACGACTCACAGGATTTAAAGCAGTAATGTATGCAGAACATATCCTGGTAACATTTTGTTCTACTGTTGATTTGTTTTGTTGATCGCTGAAGTACAGTGCCTATAAATTCAGCTGCTGGAAATAATAACCAGGGCTGCATCCACTTTATATAATGTTAAGAAGATTGTGTGCAATTTATAATAAGCAATTGATAAAACTCCCCACAAAAACCAGAATTTGAAGGGCACATTAATTTCATAGTACCAAAAAATCTTTTATTGCGTATCCTTGAAGTAACAGTCCTGTCCTACTCTGACAAACATATACTATGCCACTCGTGCCTGTCTACTTAAACAGGGCTAGAAGGATAAGAGGACACAACAGGACAGGACTTAAAGCATATTGCTGAGGAACAGAGTAGGATTCCTGAAGGAACATAACCTAGTGGCAGGAGAAATAACAAGGAAATGGCTTTGTCATTGTTTTTGACTTGACAAAAATATAACCTTAGGAAGTTACCCTAATTCTTTTTTTTTCCTCAATGAGTCTTAATCCAAGGCATCCTAAGCACTCTTTAAGCAAAAAAATTACATTGCTGCTTTAAATTCACTATCAAAGGACAATTCCATGGGATTTTCTGTTCAATGACCTGTTTCCTACTGCTTGAGTAAATCTAAGCATTTAGTGTAAATGCAATATTCTGCACTGTATCCATCATTTCTTATGAGAATGTAAAGATTGTGACTCATATGTACCCTTTTATTACTTTACCAAAGTTAAATAAAAATGTGTGAATTTTGTAAACATTTGCAAATTACATTTTACATTTTAACAATTTCCCTGTGTTTTACAAGCATTTTTAATGGCAGTTGCGGAATTTCAGTGTAATAACAGCATGCATTAAAAACAAGCGAACTAACAGAAGCTGTATTTGCTGTGTTGGAAGCCAGTGCTGCTCCTAGGAGGAGCTACCGGGCCGGTATTTTGTCAGTTTTGTTTTAAGAAGCCCCAGGGCCCCCACTTCACGTCCTGCCGTTCTGCTCTGCTGCAGCCGGGCCCTGCCTTGGCCACAGCCTCAAGACTCCAAGTCTTGCTCGTGGTTTTCTTTACTCCATACCAACGCTGCTTTATTTTTTTACCGCTCAATTTTTGCTTAACATGTGTGCAAATAATCCTGCCCGTGCAGTGTCTCACTTACTTCCACATCAACTGTATTACTTGGGGCATATTTATGTCATGATCTTTTCAACTGATATTTGATGTTAGCAGAAGTAGGTGGAAGCCCTATACCAGGGAGAAAAAAAATATCCAAAATATCATTTGTAGATGTCACTCACTAAACTGTATTCCCTACCTGTAATTGCAAGCTAGTAGCAAGGTTCGCCATGTTAGTCAAGGTTCAATATCATTTAAACTTTGCAGATAATAACTAGTTACTAACTAATTGAGAATAAGGACCCTGCAATGAGTTAGTGGAAATGCTCTGCACTGGTCACTCTGTTAGTCCTAATTTCTAGTCATCTGCAGCCCCGTTAGTGGTTGGACAGACTGTTTCACACCAGCTGCAGCTATGCTGAGAAAACGTGTGTTATCACAAAACTCTGTTCACCTTGTACAGTAGAAATTTCCAGCTATTCACTTTCTTGGGAAAAAAAAAGTGATCAATCGCAAAAAAATACCTAACTTGGGAGTTCACTATTATTCTTAATTGACTGGAAAAGCTGATTGTCATTGAAAAGAAACATGTTGCACATCTTAGAATTAAACCTTTTATTTTTGCCATAGAAAGCTCTAAGAACTAATATCAAGTATTTATTAATGAAAAGTAGAACACAACTTTAAAAAGTGTGTTAAGGAAAGACTGTACAAGTATATACATTACAGACCTGGTAAAAATGCTAAGTGTTTCACAGAGAACCATTCATAGGTAACAGCTGTAGACCCAATGTTCAATGTATACGGTTTCAGCTTTTGCATCTTTTATCTGCTGCATGCCTTAACAGTACAAAATAAATAAGTAATCTATGAGCTCTGTTATCTCAATATTTGTTTCATTCATATACTGGAATGCTGTGGTATGAATCCCAAAAGAAACCATATGGTGAGGCTCAGCCATCATTAAAATGGTTTGTAGCAGATCAGGTAAAGTTTTCGCGCGTATATAAATGACTTTACTACCAATCTCTGGTAGCAAAGATGACGAAGGTCGTCATCTCTGGTAGCTTTGCTACCAGTCTCTGTTGATTTTCTTATTTTTAGATAGTTGCTTTTTTGGATTCAGTCTTTATTTTCATTACCCCAAAGCCAATTTCTTAATATTTACATAATAATTGTCATTAAATTAAACTAAAAGTTAAATGTTTACAAAAAAAAAAACCCTATAAGTGCAATAGCCAGAAATCTAAATTAAAAAGCACATGGCCCCATAAAAAGTTTTTTAAAAGGCTATAACATGTTTTGAACTCAATAAATAGTGGAAGTGAAATTAAAAATGCTTTACATGATCTCTGCACTTTGGATATCAAAAAAATCACTTCCAAGGAAAACTGAAGACCCTGAGACACATGCAAGCACGAGTCTTCTAGCAAAGATACAAAGCCCTAATATTCCAGTTTTCCTCCAAAAAGAGACCTTTAGTAGGCACAGTTTAATTAAAGGTTTTAAATATATCAGCAGCAAATATTGATAGCTGTTATTTTTCCATTATTAATGAATGTATATTTTGCAATGTACACCTAATTCCAGATGTGTCACCATGTCAGGAGCAAAGTAACCTTGTGTTTTCCCTGACAAACAGTTCCAGAAGCTCCGATGTAGCACGGTGCTAGTTCAGCCAGGGCACCCTGTGCTAACGCAGGGAACCAACCCTTGTTCCTTGGGAGGATTATGGTAACGGCCCAGGTGCCGTGTCGGACACCAGCCAAGCTGTAACATCTGAAGCAAAACCCCGTTCTGCTCAGAGCAGTTTGCAATGTGACCTGAAAATAACCATGTCTATCATATTCGTTGCCCACAAAAACAAAAAAGAAATGCTGAGTATTACATATAGACGGTAAACCAATTCTCCTCTTTCTCCCCTCCTTACAAATACTGATCTCTGGTACCCTTTTTCATAGCTCAAGCTACATTTGAATAATTTACCATTTAAATAACCTTCTGTCAAGAACACTGGATATCTAAAACCTTAAGATTGAAGGTTATAGCATAAGATGTTTACTTAAAACATTAAAAGAGGAGAAAAACCCTTAGCTGCAGTTCAAGTTATGAAAGGTTACCAATAGCTAACTAGTACTATGCACAATAATCTTTCTCAGTCATCTCTAAAACTGCTGTGCAGCTTTCATTAACTGCCATTTACAAAAATTCAACAAGTCACTAAATCCAAAATGCTAAACTATGACTCCAGTGAACAGCTCTTGTTTTTTCCTCATATTCACTATTTCTTGTTGAAATTGGACTTCTACTATTTTCTAAGTGTCTAAACATGTACCAATTGCAATAAGAAAAAAAAAGGGGGGGCAATATAATAAACTGAAAATAGATGTCTCTGCTATGGAAACTGTACAGAAATTAAACCATATGTTGGAGGGGAGGGGGTAGTCTTTGATTGTTGGTTTAGTCTCCATGATTGCACCCCCTTTAAATGGGGGAAGAAAAATCCAAATTCTTGGTTCACTTAACGGTCTAGCTAAATAGTCGCACCAAGATCCAGAGCAGTCTCAGTGCTGAGCTGCTGCAGCACTGCCAGAAGTTTCAAAGCCTTCATCTACAAAACATAAGGATTCTTTTTTTTCAAATACGAGATTGAAGCATTTCTCCATAAAGAGAGGAAAAAAAAAAAAAAGAATAACAATTTATCCCAAATTACAGTTACATTTTCCAGCAGTAATAAAACTAAACGTTATTCCCCCAAATTTTTAAATGCAAAATATTTCCTTCCTAGATGTTCTAAACTTCCTCACTATTAAGCTTAAGTTTTTTTCCCCTTTGTAAAAAGAATAAAATATAATGGCCCAGCCACTGAATACTCTCCACTCACCATACTGCCAAATATAAATAAGGTTTGTTCAACTTAGCCCAAACAGAATATTTCTTGTTTGCAAGAATATCTGTATGATGATAATATATTAATTCATATTGATTATAAACGCAGAACTAAGATGCTAGTTCAAAAATATAACGCTCCAAACTATTGGATCAGTTATTTTGGACCCTTGCAGTAAAGCATTGTTCGCAGAAGTGACACGAGATGTGGGATTTCTTTAAAATGGTTCCGTATTTGAGAAACTATGGTGAAAAGTCTTATTGTTGTCTTGGTTAATGTCTAAACATAATTAAACATTAAAGTGCTAACATGAAAGAAAGGGTTTATATAATAAATGTGGGTAGAGGAAATACCTCAATTACTTTAGAAACCTTTTTTTTTTCCCTAGTTCTTTAGAAGAAACTGTACCTTTTCAAGCTACAAAGCCCCATGTTTTGATCAAAATTAATGTACTAGAAAACACTGCCAGTTCCTTGGAAATGTCTTACTCTGTATTCAAGTAAACTTTCAGATGAATCTTTTCTACAAATTACTTGCAGCTATCCATCCAAGTATTACCATTTGATGGCTTGGCAGAACAAGTTAACTTATTTTCACTTTAACAATATGCTTTACAATGATTTTTTAACAGTTCATTGAAAACAGCTGCAATGTTCTGTACTGAAGCTTCCCCCCACCCCACCCCACCCCAACCCAGCATTTAATACATTTCAGTAAGACTCTGGTATTACAAACTCAAACTCAGTACTTCCCTCTGATGGATTTTGTTTAAAAATTGCTTCATTTCCTTGTGGAATGAAAATGTCATCCCAGGTCATTTGTTTGGCAGGAGGAGCAGATGTTGTTCCTTCGGCACCATCCTTTCCTGTGCCCACATGATAAACAATTCCATCCTCGTTTATGACAGGTATACTGCTCGAGCGGTCGGAGATATATGTGTATTGTCTGATCTGCAGCGACCTGCAAGGGTGCAAGCGGTAGAGCTTGGTGTCTCCAGAAGGGTCTTGACTGTGAACAGATCTTATGTGCGTGGCCATAACTTGATAGTTGATGAAAGATTTGCCACACGTCAAGCACTGGTACCTCCGCTCACCAGTGTGATGAATTTCATGCTTTGTACGGTACTCTGCCAGCGGGAAAACCTTGTCACAGTATCGACACGGATACTTCTTCTCCCAGGAGTGAACATTAAAATGTCTCCGTAAACTCGTCAGACATACGTATGACCTTTTACATACAATACAAATGTAGTAGACCCTGCCATCCACTATGAGCTCGTAATGGTCATCGTGCTTTACTTTCATGCGTTTCCTGCTTGGAGAATCATCGCCGGATGTTCGAGGTGTTTCATCGAGTTTGGCCTCCCCTTCCTCGGGATCATCCTTCACAGGAATGACGATGTCGTAGGTATCCTCACCAATATTTGCATAAACCTTACACCCCGTGGATAAGCCTCCTATTTCAGTCGCTGTATCTAAGGTTATGATTTTCTGCCCTTCCGCCACATGTTTTGGTGCTATACCTGCATTAAATTCCTTGTTGTTTCCAGTCAGAACATCGGAGATTTTTATTTTGAATTCACCGGGTTTTGAAGATGGCTCTTGTGAACATGTAACAAGCTGTTTTTTCTGTACACCTGAACTTTCAGAGGGTGCTGCCTTGGGTGTAGAAGGTGGCTGAACCAAAGAGTTACTGCTGACTGAACCAGGACTAGAGGAACTAATGATTTCATCATCTTCAACATCTTCCTCATCAACATCAACGGCAGCTGTTTCAGTTACAGAATCTTTCTTAGGTGGCTGCTGATTCTCCTCAAGCAAATTAATTGTAGGGGGCACATTTGTTTGATTAGAGGAGCTGACGCTGGGTGAAGAATTAAGTGGAGCCTGGTTTAGCAAAATGATATTGGGAGTCAAATGCTGTGGGGTCGGAGCGACAGGAGATTCGGCACTTGATTGTGTTTGGTTTGGACTTGGCTGACTGGCAGGTGAAATTAGTTTTTGAGTTGTTGCAGTGGTGCTCAGAAGGGGAGAGCCACCACCACCGCATGATTTTTGGTCAGACACTTCAGCTGGACTTGGGCAAGGCTGGCTCTGCGTTGCAGCACTGGTATCTTTAGCACATTCCTTCGGGGGAACAATCTCGGAGCAAAAGATGACATCGTCGTCTTCGTCATCGGAATCACTCACGGTGATTTTTGCAGCCTCGTACTGTATGCCATGTAAGGAGAACGACTCTGTTATAACCGGCATCCCGCCCGATACCTCTTGACTCTCCTGCCGTGTTGCAGGAACCTGTGTCTGAGCATCCCTTTGACCCGGGCTAGTAGCCACACTTTCTGAAGCATCTTTGCCCTCACCTGGCATGGTTTTTCCTTCTGACGGCAGTACACCCAGATCAGCTATGAATTTAACACCCAATAGTTGCCCCGATTTAATCAGCTCATCAAGCAAATCTGATCGAACGCGGATTATTTTGGAGCTGTAGATATAGTTAAGTATTTCTGCAAAAATTTCTGCTCTTACAAAGCTCAGTTCAACCACTTGTCCAGCCACTGAGAAAAGCTGGTGAAAATATGTGCTTGAGGCAGAAAGGATGTTTCTGTGAGCTCGAAATTTCCGATCCTCTACGATGACAGTAACATCACAAAAAAGTCCATGGCCACGTTGTTCATTTAAGGACTGAAGGAGCACACTAGAATATTGTGCGTCTGTAGCAGAAATCAGTTTCTTATCCTCCATTCCTACAGAGGGAAAATAAAAGGTATCGAGTTAGTAAAAATACAGATTTACAGTTTAAAGTGCATGTCAGGGTGCCTACCTTTTCAGTGGAAAAAAATATCTCAGCCTGAGTGATTATTTATTAGCTTATCTGCTATAGTACTCCACATGTTTGCCTCATTATTTGCTCCTTCACCCTCCTCATTTAGTAGGTGCAGTATAAGTGCAACGTCTGTTCTTAACAGATGAGATAGGCAAGCCAGGGACGTTAAATGTAATTCAATAGCAAACAAGGTGAACTTGGAAACAAGAGGTAAGATTTAGGCTCCTCAAAAATCCTGTTTTAAAATACTAATAGAGATTTCTTTCTAATTGTTAGAATATTTCAGACATAGTTATGAGTGACCAGCTAACATCCCACTCACGGGGCAGGTAACAGGATGCGTGTGGTGAATCCCGCCAGGCCCCGGGGTTAACCAAAACCCTGCTGATATTTGGCTTCCTCCTGTGCAAAAGGGAAGGAGCGAGGAAACTTTGCCCCCTCCTCGTCGTCCCCCGCGGGGCGACGCGCCGGGGCGGCCCCTCCGCGAGGCAGACGCGGGCGGTCGCGGAGCCGCCACCGAGACACGGGGCGCGGGGGAAGTTTGCGGGCGGAGCACGTGGCGGAGCCCCCCCCCAGCCGAG